TGTTTAGATGTTAGAAACATTCAGATACTTCCAACTGTATGATACCATACTGAGTATTACCCATACATATCTGTTACATTGAAAGAAGTCCTAGTGTCTGGGAATAGATAAGGCTCCAAAATCTGAATAGTTATACATTAGAAAACGTCCAAATATTTCCAACTGTATGATACTATACCAAGTATTGCTCCTGTCCATCCACTATGTCGAATGAAGTCCCTACATCTGTAGTTGGATAAGCCTCTAAAATCTGAATATTTAGATGTTAGAAAAAATTCAAATATTTCCAACTGTATGATACTATACAGAGTATTGCCCCTACCCATCTGTTATGTTGAATGAGGTCCCTGTGTCTGTGGTTGGATAAGGCTCCAAAGTCTGAATGTTTAGATGTCAGAAATGTTCAGATATTTCCAACTGTATGATACTATACTGAGTATTGCCTATACATATCTGTTATGTTGAAAGAAGTCCTAGCATCTGAGAATGGATAAGGCTCCAAAATCTGAATAGTTATACATTAGAAAATGTCCAGATATTTCCAACTACAGGATGCCATACTGAGTATTGCTCCTGCCCATCTGTTATGTTGAATGAAGTCCCCACGTCTGGGAATGGATAAGCCTCCAAAATCTGAATATTTAGACGTCAGAAAAAATTCAAATATTGCTGACTGTATAATACTATACCAAGGATTCCACCTGTAGCAATATACTTTCTACCCCCCTGTTACCATCAATTGTAATATCTAGCCTGTATGTTCCTGGAGAGTTACTCTGTGAAACCAAACTATTGACTTTAAGCTCTCCTGCAGGGACTGAGTATTCCTGTACAAGTGGTGTTGCAGGAAATTCCCTGTCCCTGCCATGAAGGGAAGACAAGCTTGCACAAAATGGTAGAACCAGACAATTGGTTTTGACACCTTCTGGAGGTGCTGGGGTTTTGTAGGTAAACAGTATTGTAGAACATGCTTCATTTAATTGAGAAGGTGACCCAGCACAACTTAGTGGAATCAGAATGTCAACTTCAAAACTCAGTAGTATTGCAGGACCTTCTCTGTTCTGGTTGTAAAGGAAAGGAGACACTTGCTGAAACGAAGGCATGTTCAATATTCAAGTCAAGGAAAAGATCTGAGCAATTTATACCATGATCTAATGAGCACCCAATGACCTTGCTCTAATAATTGTTGTATTGGCTGTGTGTGCCTGACTGTAAGGCACCAGTGTACAGGTCACTGAACATCATTGAGTCACCTGATCATTCTACAGCCATTTAATGCCTTGGACCTCAGACCTTGTACTGGGAATCCCCCCTAAGTAACTGTGGTGGATTGGAAAACCACACCTTTTAATAGATTTTACTTGTATGCTCTCTACCAATGAGATTTGGACAGTACTGTCCAACTGCAAGATTACCTTTTTTTGAGTCCAGATCACTATGAACCCCTTTTTCAAAGAAATTTTCTTATCTCCAAATCCTAAATCCAGTAATAGCATAGTGGTTAGAATTATTCTCAAGGGAAGACAGAGCTCAGCTAGAGGCAAGGATATGCAAGTGCTATCAATCACTAGAAATAAGGTAATCATAGTGACACAAGAAAGTAGTCCAAAGAGCAATATTCTTATTGAATTTCACAAATATCAAACAAGATCATAAATTAGCACTCTGTTATGTACATACAGCCTTTGAGAGCTAACAAGATCTAGAATAGACAAACAGATCTGCATGTCTAAACAAAGAACTGCTAGTCTACAACAATCAGACTAGTATTACTCCAGATACAAGAAAGCAAGCATCTGCAGTCCAGACCTATAGCTAGTTACTTCACAAGTGTAAAACCAGACTGTGAAAAACCCTCTAATGCCTTACAATCTGTGAGACTTACTGGACAGTCAAAATACATGATCTAGACGAGTGGACTTAGGCTCAAAATGATGAACAAGATCAGAGAAGGGTGGAGACATACTATGCATCATGTCTAAAAATGCACCTGTTGAATGATTCATGCCTGGACCAACAAATGCATTCCTTAGTCTAATTATCATATCATATCCTGTCCTAGCTCAAAGTTGTGGTCAGTAAGGTCCAAGACAGTGCTTAAGCATCTATAGAACCTATTTTCCTTTATACTATTAATAGGTGGGTCATATTTCATAGTCTATTTGAAAGCTGAGGATCAGTGGAATCTGACAAGTCTAAAATTTGGCAAATACTAGAGAGAATAAACTGTTCAGTTATGACTGAGTTAATCTAATTTGTGTGCTTGACTTGACGTTTGCATTAGGCATGGTCAAACCTTGCAATTCAGTGTGTGATTCACCTGCACAATTCACTTTCATGCAAAGTGAATCGTGGACCCCAGAACCCCAGCAATTCAGGGTGAATCGTGCTGAAAGGTGAATCACACTTTGATGCAATTCACCTTGCAATTCACCCCTGCAATTCACCTCTACTCATATCTATTTCCAAATATGTACATGTATTACAAAAATAAAACTAAGCTTCTTTTCACCTCTAAATTCCAAAAAACAATAAGATGATTTGCCTCTTCCTTGTGAGCACTACAGCATACATACTGTTGTCTGTTCTGCAAAAAATCCTTGTGTTCTCTGCTACCAAGCTCTGTTGTCTTCTTGCACATCACTGTACACATATCAAGTCCTTCTTAACATGGCCAAATGTATATGCACGAAAAAAAACTATTTCTTTAATTTTATATTATGTAATTTTAAGATCAAGGGTCGGTATATTGAGGTGAATCACACATGTACAAGTGTGCTAGTCAAACCTGCACATGTGATTCACCTTGCAATTCACCCTCTAGAATTGCAAGGTGAATTGCACAAAGAATTGCAAGGTTTGACCACACCTATTGAAAGCCATTGCTAATTCTGCCATTCATAATCTCTCCATTCTCAAGCAGCAACTCAGGCATGAGCAAATGGCACTGTTGGTTTCAGGAAGTTCACACTAACTAATTGATATTAGGGGTGGTCAAAATTGACAATTCAGGTTGTGATTCACCTGCACAATTCACTTTGGGTGAAAGTGAATCATGGACCCTGAAACCCCTGCAATTCAGGGTGAATTGCATTGACAGGTGAAGCAGCTCTGGAGGCACTTCACCACAATTCACCTCACACGATTCACCCCCTCTTTTTTTTGTTCTTTTGTACTATACTGTAATCCATTACCCTTTTTGTAAAAAATCCTTACACTTCAAATAAAATTTGTAATTCTCACTTGCATATACTAAAATTTGAGTACTAATTAGACTCAATACTTTTTTTCCCTTATAAATTATCAGTCCTATCCTAGGCTTGTGTTATCTTGCTTTAATACTACTAACTTACTCTATAACCTGGCTTTTGTATATAGTCTTATATGTATTAATACAGTAAAAAAATGAAGAAAATACTTGACATATGGACAGAATTGAGTACATATACAAGTAGGGATGAATTGGCCTGAATTGCCTCTGAGAAAGTGGGTTGGTCAAAATTTGTTGTGCAATTCACCCTGCAATTCACCTGCCAGAATCACAAGGTGAATTGTGAGGTGAATTGTGAATTTTGACCACCCCTATTGTTAACTTCTTTTTTTGAGAAAAAGAAAGGGTTCAACTGTGGATTGCTTCATCCGAAGAATCTGTGCAATCCACCATCAAATCTGCAACAATTAACTGTTCGTACAACCTCACCCACTGTGAAGCTAGTTTCCCACACTCTGTGTGTTCAAGGGTGCTGTGTGCTGTGTATGAACCCCCTTTCTTCTTGCCACCCACCAGGATGCACCCAAAATTATCTCCCTTCACATTATACAATACAATGCCTACCTTTGGTGCTCTCAGTCTTAATTTCTTCAGTCATAGCCAAACAATTCTTTCTTGCTGGACTTCAGACCCTTGAATCCACTTTGCCTTGGAGTCCAAAGCAGACTGTACAAACTACAATAATATTATAATGGTGAATAAGTTATTAAGATACTTGAAAGCTGTGTTGGATCTTGTCGATTCTGACTTCGAAATCTGACTTCAAGTTAGAACAGATGTTGCATATGGTTAGTGATATAGTTGTTCTATTGGGTTTGAATGCTTGGAGACATCAAGATGTAGTCTTTCTAAGCATATTTTATTCTGTTTCCTGATGTCTAAGTCTGCTTGTCAAGATCAGGTAATCTTCCTTGCCTAGCAAGTCTTACAGGCTGTAATACACTCAAGTGTCCTTTTACACTCTTGTACACCTGTGAAATAACTAGTTCAAGGCTACAAATACTTGCTTTCCTGAGACCAGGGCATTACTAACAATGATTCCTGAAGGGTAGGGGCCATTAATTCTTTGTTTAGACGTGTAGATCTTTGCATCTATTCTAAATCATAATTGTTAGCTCTCACATATACAGACTGACAGTATAGAGTGTCTCTTTACACTCTAGTGAGGCATTTATGAAGCATACCAATTATATTGTTCTTCAGTGTTAGAGTCCCTGTCTCACTACCAGTAACTTGTAGTATCTTATACTCTCTATCTTCTTGCCATACTCTGTCTTCCTTTAAAAATAATTTAAGGCCTGTAATAATGATAGGCCTGGAATTTGAAAACAGAATATGTATTTTTGGGAATAGGGCCTATCATTATATCTGGTCTCTTAAAAGTAACAAGCCTGCTATTCCACTGTGTCGTCTGCTTACTTTACAGTTATCATCAATTCAAGGCATGCAGGTAAGAACTATTAAAGGATATGATTTTCCAAATTCACCACAGTTACTTACAATTCACTACAGTTACTTACAGGGGAATTCCTAGTAAAGGAACTGAGGATCAAAGCATGGAATTGCTGTGGAATGATCAGGCAACTATTTGTGCATAGTCTCAGGTGTCTCAAAGGTTGCCTCTGCAGTGTCTTCTGCACAGAAGACCATTGGGACAATGTCTTCAGGCAGCCTTTAGTGTACAGGATATAAATTTGTTCAGGCATTTTCCTTGACTTGCACAATAGCCATGCCTTCGTTTCAACCAGAGTTGTCTTCCCTTTACAACTGGAACAAATACAGTTCTGCAACACAGCCAGCTTTGGAATATTTGGCCTCTACAGGTGTAGGAGATTTTGGTGTCAACTTTTCTGTTCCACAGTATTACACAGAGTTGTCTTCTGACACGAATGAAGCATGTCCTAAATCAGGGTTATCTTACAGTGACTCAGTTCATCCAGATCCTCCACAGTTCCACCCTGAGTTGTCTTCCCTCTACAACTGGAATGGGCAGCAGCATTCCACAGCACTGGTTACACAGGGATACATGGCCTGTGCAAGAGAGCTTGAAGCCAATAATTCAGTTTCACAGAGCTGCACACAAGGAGCATTGTCCCCAAGCATTACACAGGGTAGTGTCTGCAAAATTAACAGTGATAGTTGGGATGGACTTTTGGACAGTGTGCTAGTCATCAACAGTAACGATAGAGAGGCAAGACCAGAAGATGTATTTACACAAGCAGAATCCTCAGTATAACACTATACACCTGGAAGCCTTTTAGTAGTTTCTGACATTCATGTATTTAGATTTTGGAGCCTCATCCAAGTCTAGACGTTGCATGTTTGCTCAACATAACAGATGGACAGGAGCAATATACAGCAACACCTCTGACTTCATGAGTTCTCTCTTCTATATAAAATTTTCGTATATTGTTTACATTTTGTATCAAGGAACTCTTGCTCTATAGAAAACCAGGGTGTAGGAAAAGAGAGCAAGACTATTCAGCTGAGCACCAGTGGATCATCGAACCTGGAACGTCTTCAGGCAAAGTTGGAATCATACTGAGAGAAGCTCTCAATACATTGTCAGAAACCTGACTCTGAGCTGTGTCATGGGTGCTATTACAGAAAGACAGACAGCAGAAATTGTGAATGGGCAAAGATGCACTGTAGGCAATGTGGAAGGTTATTTTGCACAGAGTATTTTGCTGTCTTGTAAGTCCTCCTTGCCTGGTTGCAATGATTGACTAATTCCTGGCAGTTTCCCCAAAACACAATTTCTTGAAAAGACCTTCCCAGGAGAGGCACAACAGGATAAAGTGGATTCAATGGATGCAGCTTCAACAGACATAGATACACCCCCTTCAGATACAGATTGCAGTTCAGAATCTTCTGTATCTGATGATGATAGCAAAAATGCTGGGTGAGTCCATTTACTGCATGCTTAGATTTGACAACTCAGAATAAGTATTACCTATCAGTATGATATCATCTGTAAAGGACCAGACCCTGCCCAGATCAAAGTCGTGTAACAGCCAGGAGCCCTGCACAATAATCAGAGGCAGTAGTACTGCAGGCAAACCCTGTTACGTGTTCAACACTCAAAGCAGTACTTTTGTATGCCCTGTTTGTACAGGAGGTTGTCTGTGTTGTAACTGCAGTCGTCTTCCCAAGAAGAAAGAGAAGATGCTCCTAAAGCATCTAGATGGAAAAACTTATCTCTGTTCTCCTTATTGGACAAGACAGTTATACCTTGAGAAAAAAATCAAGAAATTGGAGAGGAAGATCAATGATAAAGAACCACCTGCTTGAGTGTAGCTTTATTTCTTTGTTACAAAAGGAGAGTCATGTATCTTCTCTGTCAATTGTGATATTGAGAAATCCTTATATTGTAATTGATTGAATGTATGCATTTTCCTAGTAGTACAATAACTGAACGTCCAGCATTCTTAATGTTGTAAGTATTCCCTTTGTGTCTGCATACAATACAACAAAGTGCATTCAACAACATAGACTTTCTGTACATTCTGCTGCATGCTTCCATTGACTACCCAACTAATCATCAATCACAAAGTCTGAATCACAGTGACTATGCTGAATGACATTCCTCTTAATACCCACTGCAACCATAGTACAGTTGGAGATTGTTATTACAACATCTGTACATGCATTTACCTGGAATTCTGAAGTTATATCGAATAAAGAAAATGATGGAGAGTAGTATGTACAGTTTTCTTGATTTTTCTACTAATTGCTGTCCCTAATCGTTCAATCTTGGCTGTTACTGATTTCTGTTAGTGAGAAGACTTTAGATGGGTCAATATGTAATGAGAGTACAGGTGGTCAAGTTCACTTGCCCAAGAGTTTAACATGTCAATAACTGTGGCAAAGAACTGATGAAGAACAGTGAAGGGTTGAACAGGATATATGGATAGTATTAGAGGCAGGGGACAGTGAATAGACATTACAGGGAAAGGGACGAGTATTTATTAAAGAACAAATGCTTAAGCAAATTGCAGTAATGGGTCAAAAGATGACTGCAGTCATCACTCCTTATTAAATTAAGGTGAAAATTATGAAACTGTAGCAACTTTCTTGACGCCTACAACTACATTCTAAACCTTAGCCTGTACTATTCATTTACTGTTAATTGCTCTATAGGGCATTGTTAGTTGAAAGTAGGAAGGAGGGAAGGAAAGAGAGAGAGTAAGTGTAGAAATCAGACTAGAAATATTAGAATGCATAGAGTGAGTCTGACTACTATCAACGTTCGTCGACATTGTTAGTTAGTAACTAGTAATGTGATCCAGAAATTTCTATAACAGGAATTCTAAAAATATTTAATATCAGACCAATGTAGGACTTGAGTATATCCCTTGTGTATGGCCACACTCCTCCCTCTGTAACAAAACACATAAGATAAGCAGCTTGTACTATGTCCAATACTTTTACAACTGTAGTAAACTGAGGCGAATTCACCTGAGGGACATACTGTAAGGGGCCTAATTAGAGGGTGTACAAGACCCTTGTAGTCCCTTGAATTAGGTACCTTTTGAGCTTTTCTCCCTAACTGTACTTAATACTAGACTTAAATAGTAAAAAAAATTCTAAGTCAAAATAAAATAAAATAAAATAAGTATGCTGAGTGCCCTATATGGCAACTGTGCCCTCCCCACCTGCCACACCTTGAGCTCACTGTCTCATACAGTGAGCACACACTTTTCTCTGTATCTTACTCAATTCTTAACCAAATTTCTTCATTATTCCTTTAAAATTAATGTAAATTTAGTTGGAACTCATTCATAACACAAATACAATGTTAAATGTATCAATTACTTGTGTATTTGTGTACTATTCGATAATAAAAAATACAACAGTTTCCTCTGACTAAGATTTATGATACTCTAAACTCTTAATACTGTAATAATAGTAGAGCTTATATATCTACAGTATATCCAAGAATTGAGTCTGTGTAATGTATACAAAGGAAGTTACACTATGCTTTATATACATAATTTTGTAGTCTCATATCTATGTAACCACAGAAGTTATTAATATAAGAGTGGCTTTTTTAAATAGGTGTAGATTAGTATTAAATTATTATAAGATATGAGAGGTTTAAAATAAGGAGGTAAATTGTTATTAAGAGTATAGTACAAATATTAGAGTCTATATATCTTTACTATATGTTAAGTTGTTTTATGTAATACTAGGGACGTATTGGGAAG